CTCAGCATTGGTGTGAATACCTCTGATAAAATACCTTTATTGATTTTAGAGATTCACCTACTATTGATCAAGGATAACTAACTAGCCATCCTCATGCCCATCATTCAGCCTCCCAGCACAACCTTGATCCATGCTTGGATAAACCATTACACAACCTAATGGTGTATGAATACACACAGATAAAGCAGCGTAAATTGGTCATTGGTTTCATAATTAATGTTCAAGTCACCATTTTAATTGTCAATACAAGAAATGGTGTTATATGGATGATATTTTGACAAATAATGATGTGGATGGAAAAAAATTACAAATAATTGTTGTACATATTATTTTACTAGTTCAGAATAAAGATTGCTTTTTACTTTAATGGTAGAATATTTCTTTAAAGTGTTGCACATTAATCTTACGGCATCGTGTATGTAATAAAATACACAACCAAAATATTTCTAGCCATAATATGACTTAAGACTTAAATTTTATACCAATGAAAACAAGACCTCTAAACATAAAAAGTGAAGTAGAACACCTATGATCTGAGACGTTGGTGGGAGAAATGAGAGAGTGGTTTGGTCAATCCTTACAGACAAGTGGCTTATCCACTATCATCTGAGGTTTTATAACCTGGTAATTACATTAGATTATATCAGGGACAGTTGTATCATCTTAGGAAGTGAAGATATCCACAATCTGAATATTGTCCTAATAGATAGAGAACACACAATCTGGACATCGTCCTAATACATAGAGAACACACAATCTGGACATCGTCCTAATACATAGAGAACACACAATCTGGACATCATCCTAATAAATAGAGAACACACAATCTGGACATCGTCCTAATACATCGTCCTAATACATAGAGAACAAATCTGGACATCGTCCTAATACATAGAGAACACACAATCTGGACATCTTCCTAATACATAGAGAACACACAATCTGGACATCGTCCTAATACATAGAGAACACACAATCTGGACATCGTCCTAATACATAGAGAACACACAATCTGGACATCTTCCTAATACATAGAGAACACACAATCTGGACATCGTCCTAATACATAGAGAAACACACAATCTACAATACAGAGAACACACATCGTCCTACACAGAGAACACACAATACATAGAGAACACACAATCTGGACATCATCCTAATACATGGAGAACACACAATCTGGACATCGTCCTAACATAGAGAACACACACACTAATACACAGAGAACACACAATCTGGACATCGTCCTAATACATAGAGAACACACAACACACAATCTGGAACACACATCGTCCTAATACATAGAGAACACACAATCTGGACATCTTAGAGAACACACAATCTGGACATCTTCCTAATACATAGAGAACACACAATCTGGACATCGTCCTAAACACACACAATCTGGACATCGTCCTAATACATAGAGAACACACAATCTGGACACTAATACATCCTAATACATAGAGAACACACAATCTGGACATCGTCCTAATACATAGAGAACACACAATCTGGACATCGTCCTAATACATAGAGAACACACAATCTGGACATCGTCCTAATACATAGAGAACACACAATCTGGACATCTTCCTAATACATAGAGAACACACAATCTGGACATCGTCCTAATACATAGAGAACACACAATCTGGACATCATCCTAATACATGGAGAACACACAATCTGGACATCGTCCTAATACATAGAGAACACACAATCTGGACATCATCCTAATACATGGAGAACACACAATCTGGACATCTTCCTAATACATAGAGAACACACAATCTGGACATCTTCCTAATACATAGATTACACTTATAAACTTGGTATATTATTTGTACACTTTTACACTCTTTATATCTTCAACTTTTATCTATATCTCCCATGAAACTGGAGACATTTCCATAAAACTTTTACACATGTAGATTTCCCAAAAAACCAGAAACATTTATCTGGTATTAATATGCTATCAATCAAATGACGCAGATATATTTACTAAAACCTTTAACATTATACATATCTCATATGGAACTACAGACCCGAGACAATTGCCTGGAACGGTCTTCTTTCATTCTCATAAATACTTATCGAGCAATATGTCACTTCAATAATTTGGATGAAATCATCCTGACATAAAGGTTTTTTATATCTGACATTTTGTATCTATCTAGGAATATACTTAAATGCTTTTATCAGCATTAACATGGGAAGTATTTGTTTTTAACAAAAGTAAGAAACACTCAGTCCAGATTTAGAATAAACACATTCTTAAACTCAACTTTTTCGCAAAAAGCACTTGAAGTATAATGAGAAGTGAAGGAAACCACTAAAGGGTTTTGACGCCCCAGAGTTTGGTGTGTGAAGACTTTAAATTCAAAGGAGACCAACCTATAGGTGTGATGTCAGCCGGAAGAATCCAGTGATGTCCTTATCGGCTTAAGTGGAGTCAAAACATGTCATTCAAAGAAATTTAAAACAGCGATAGACAGAAAGTTGAAATAAACACTATGTATTGACTCAATTCATCAAATATAGAACAAGATAATCCAGGTGGTGAAATGAATGCTTAAAATAGAACTAGGATAACAAGATCTAGTAAAGAAAAAAATCTTCATGATAAATGAAAATTTGACAGTGAAATTTCTGATTCTCCTGCAAAGGTGGAGATTTTTCATCACCAACCCATAATAATGGACTATTGATCACAGGAATATATCACTTACACAGCTGTTCTGTTGACCATAGGTAAGCATAACAGTTTAAGCTAGCTGTCCAGTAATGATGTTTTTTCCCCTGGGTTAAGTTACCAGAAATACCTATATGTTAACAGGTTACTGCAAAGAAATAACATGAAGATGAATTTTCATGAGTTATTAAGAAGAGAATATGACTAATATTGGAGCGAAGTTGTTCAGGAACATCTGTCCTTTTTAATGGTTTTACTGTTGTTGGTATGTTGCTGGCATCTAAGATGTATGATTGAAGGAATCCTATTTAACAAACATATTCATTCCCAATACAACCTGGTCCCGACATCAACCTTGTCAGCTCTCCATCTTGGTAGCATGTTGTAACAGTTTCTCAGCTGTTGTACATGATAGTGTATCTATATATACCTGCGGGGGAGAAGGACTGATATATGGCATACCAGTACACATCAGCACAGGTAATATAAACAGAGGTGAGAGCTTGCACATTAGTACCTGTCAACGACCAGGAATAAATCAGGTGTCAGGTAGATATATTTTATCAATATATAGAAGTTTTAGAGGGTTTTGCTATTTTCATGTTATTGTTATGTATTCTATGCAGTAAACATGCTTTAGATATGTTATTGACAGCAAGCAAAGATTACATGTACTTATTGTTTGTCGAGCTGATGGATAGTTTCTGCAATAAACCAGGTAGAATTTGACATGCTGTTCCATCGTGCCATGTACTACAGTATCAGTTCTGATCAGCTGGACATCATATTGAAATACCTACTTATGTGTTTAGAATAAGTTTCTATAACCTTTTTGCACTATACAGACATTGCTGTGTTTATTTTTATGTATTGGAAATGTGTCATCTGCCTCTTTTGAAGTTGACATTTTTTGTGTCATTGTGTTATGGAAACAAATAATTTAAAATATCCATGATCTATATTGAATTAATGGTAAATAGCTAATCTGCCTCTTATGTTTGACTTTTTGTTTAGAAGAAATAGATTTCTTAAAATTCTAGATTACTATAAAAATACCTAGCCTAGCTAGCCGAAACATGTAAACTGATAATAAAACCATGGAATCCAGATGTTGGTGCTCCATCTTCTCTGTCATTCGTCATTTATAAAAATACATAATTTTGTTGTCCTTGTCCTTTCGTTGTCATTTATAAAAATACATAATTTTGTTGTCCTTGTCCTTTCGTTGCCATTTATAAAAATACATAATTTTGTTGTCCTTGTCCTTTCGTTGTCATTTATAAAAACACATAATTTTGTTGTCCTTGTCCTTTCGTTGTCATTTATAAAAATACATAAGTTTGTTGTCCTTTTGTTGTGCTCCATATCACGGTTTTAGTATATTTTTTTCCAATGTCATAATTTTCGCTGATTGAATTTTTTGTGCAATTTATTTTTCAGAAGTTTCAGAATTTTGTTTTCAGTGACAAACATGTATTTATGTTTCTTGTCATCTAACATGTTAAAATTAGAAATTGTTTTTTAACTTTGATTGAGCTTCGAAAATAATGTTAGTACCAATGATATGTCTAATTGTATGTATCAAATTATCATTTCTTACCATGTGTTCAAATTTCATTGGAGTGTTTTCCCCTTTTTCTTTTTGTTTTTCTCTCTTTTACTTCTCTGTGAAAATTGTAAGCCCCACCCTATAGATTACTTTTTCAACAGAGACAGGTTCATCAGAGGAAAGAAAACGTGTTGTTCCTTCTGAGAACTTTTCTCCCAGTTCACCTACTTAAGTACGATTGTCCACAAGTTATATAATATACCATTACTAAATATGAGGTGAATTTTATACTACAAGTTTATTCTAGAAGGTTTAAAAATATCTTAAGCAATAAATTATGGTACAATTTTATCCTGATTTGTATGAAGTACATAAATAAGCATTTGTTCAATTAAGAGGTCAGTAATATTTACCAAAAACAATGACTACAATGACGACAATGACAAAGGCCACAACAATGGCAATGATGATGATGATGACGATGATATACTCCAAATACAATCATTAAGTCACACACACATACACATGCATTTCATTTGTCGGCTGAAAGAAATAATAACGAGTAATTATCATTAATTGAATGGTACTTCAGTAATTCCTTGTTGAAGTAATGAATTCATTTTGCTTTAAACAGGTGGGTGTGGCTTTAAGGATGGACAATTCTTTCCCTTGGTAGAGATGTGGCACTTTAATGGCCACCTAGAACTCTTTATATCTTGACCATCATCTCTGACTGATTACACATCAGCTAACATGAAGATGTCGCTGGTACTGTCAGAAGAACAGATCAGCAGCTGCCGACGAGGATCAGATATAGATATTGAGGTATGACTACCATCATCTACCGTTTCTTAAGAAAAATACTGCAGTTACCTGTTATGAATGGTAATTTAGTCTCGAATGGGTAGGCCATCCAAATAGGAAATCATCTGAAAGGGAGTTAACTTAAATGAAAAGTATTAAGTTATCTTAAAGGGAGATGACTTAAAAGACGTTTGTCATCCATGTGACCTCACACCACCTTTTTTACTTTCCTGTCATTGTACAGGAATGTAGTGCAAAACGAAATCTCAGTTCATTTAGTAAATATCTTATGTATACTTATCTATAACATATACCGGTATGTACATATGTTTTACCGGTACTCAGAATTGTTGTACAATATATGTTTTAATGAAAGAATTTTATTTTGGCATAATTTTCATGTTTGTTGATATGGCAGTGCATATTGTATGATGAGGCCCAATTTTTGATATTTTGCAGTTTTGGGTTTTGGGTTTTTCCTAAAAAAATTTGAAGGCCTATTGAAGTGACATTCAAATGAAAACATCTTTCTTAAATGCAAGTACTTATCTGCTAATTGTAGGTATGTCTCGCATGGATCTACAACATGATCCTTTGCAAAATTTTATAATATCTCAATTTTTATTTTCTTTTGGTATAATATGTAAGGTCTGGGGACTTTATAGGAAATTATGATAAAGGGAGATAACTTAAATGGAACGTTAATGAAGTTGAAATTCACTCTAATGGGACGTTACTAAAGAGAAATAAATATTGATCAGTTTATGTGAAATCATGCTTTTAGAAATTATGACCCCCAAAAGATGTCATCATGGGTGAATATTCAAATGGAATGTAACTCAAATAGGAAATATGAATGAATTTGTGCACTGTTGACAAATTAGTCAATCTATGTAAGTTTAAGAGGTCAGTCCAGTATAGTTTACTAGGAAAATATGTCTTGAAATAACCATGTCAATCTATGTATAGTTCACTTGTTCAATTTGTATGAGGTCAGCCATATCAATATGTAAGTCGGATCAACTTGTATGACTTAAGTTAATCTTGTATGTATTTTTAAAGTTTACCAAGCATAGATATGTAAAACTACCTAGGTTTCTCTATATAAAGCTCAGCAGGCATATCTTTTCGTGTCAAACTTCTGATCAAGCCAATAAGGCACAGCTCAATGAATATTATTGGATAATATACAAATCAAACGGTACCTTTGTGGTCTAACACAACAAGTTATATCTTAAAATTGAGACCAAACTGAGGCACCCCTACAGGGTATTTTCTATACATCGGTACCTGCTGTAAACTGTTTGGTTGGTTAAGGGTATTGAAAATGAAGGTTTTGTCATCACTTATTGTAAATGTGTTCATATAGCAATTGATCATTTATGTTGTGCTATTCTAATAGCAGTACAGACAAAATTGGAGTATTTAGAAATACTTTTTTCTGTGTTCTGAAAAAAATATATATTTGAAAACTGTTATTCAAATATTCCTTCCATGTTTATTGATAATTGACAGGGGAAGTAACTCCGTTCCAACTATTGTTTATTCATTCTAATGCTGTCAAAACTATAACCTTGAGAGAAAAAGTAATTTTGCTATGTGTTTGTCAGGTTTTCTGCTGGTGAGAAAGTATAACTGTTTTTATTTATGAAACATAATCTTGATAAGGGAAGTAACTTGATAAGTTTTAATGCAGTCAATTGAAGTCACTTCATCTCTTGTCTATCATTTATAACCTTGATAAGGGGAGAACTTGTACTCCACATTTACCAATTTAAATGCTGCTCATCAGTAAATAAGGGAAGTAACTCTACTCCATGTTTATCAATTTAAATGATGTCCATATGTAAATAAGGGAAGTAACACTGCTCCATATTTATCAATTTAAATGCTGCTCATCAGTAAATAAGGGAAGTAACTCTACTCCATGTTTATCAATTTAAATGCTGTCCATATACATAAATAAGGGAAGTAACTATGCTCCATGTTTATCAATTTAAATGCTGTCCATATGTAAATAAGGGAAGTAACTCTGCTCCATGTTTATCTATTTAAATGCTGTCCATATGTAAATAAGGGAAATAACTCTGCTCCATGTTTATCAATTTAAATGCTGTCAAGGAAGTAAATAAGGGAAGTAACCTTGCTCCATGTTTATCAATTTAAATGCTGTCCATATGTAAATAAGGGAAATAACTCTGCTCCATATTTATCAATTTAAATGCTGCTCATCAGTAAATAAGGGAAGTAACTCTACTCCATGTTTATCAATTTAAATGCTGTCCATATACATAAATAAGGGAAGTAACTCTGCTCCATGTTTATCAATTTAAATGCTGTCCATATGTAAATAAGGGAAGTAACTATGCTCCATGTTTATCAATTTAAATGCTGTCAAGGAAGTAAATAAGGGAAGTAACTATGCTCCATGTTTATCTATTTAAACGCTGTCAAGGAAGTAAATAAGGGAAGCAACTCTGCTCCATGTTTATCTATTTAAATGCTGTCCATAAGTAAATAAGGGAAGTAACTATGCTCCATGTTCATCAATTTAAATGCTGTCAAGGAAGTAAATAAGGGAAGCAACTCTGCTCCATGTATATCAATTTTGATGCTGTCAATTGAGGTAATTCTGTTTCTTACTTATCAATGATATCCTTTAGCGGAGAAGTCATTCTGCTCCAACGTTTATTAATGCTGTTGAGGGGAGTTTCTCAGTTTCTTCCATTTCAATACCATAAAAGGTATGAAACATTTTTCACATTTATAACTATAATTTGGATATGGGAAGTAACTTTTTCATGCATTTTACAGTTATACCATTGCCAATTGGAGTAACTCTAAACTAGGAAAGGTTCCTAATGTTGTTGTTTTTGTTATTAGGGATCCAAGATATATTTGCACATTGTCACAAAGTGGAACACTGTCAGGATTATAACACACAGCTGTAGCAGTATAGCTAGTAATTGCTTTACTGCATCAAAGTAGAACAAAATTAGCAAAATTTAATATTGTAAATTCCCAGAAATTAAAATTATGTTTTAGTGAAGCAACCATGGCTATTTTGATTACTGCATGTATTAATCAACCATTGCATGTGCACCTATTGTAAAATCCGCTATACCATACCATGTGTTTTGACCATCATCTGATATTCAGATTTTATCAATGACCTTTCATCACTGATCTGCAATAATAAATTCTTAAATGATTCGTGTTTTCACATCTCAGATCTCATAAACATGATCATTGTGTTGTTCCTTTGTTTTGCTTGTATAATTTTGTTGGAGTCAGTTTAGTTAGAGGACTATATCAGAAGGCAGGTTATTTGTCCAGTCAAACAGATAAGATAAAAGAGCAGATCAGAAGAGAAAAAATTTAAAATGAAATGGACAATACATAAAAATCTCTTGTTTAAAGTAAGATTACTTTGTATCATCCAAAATACATGGCTGTGAAACCATGTACACTAGTTTTGAAGAAATCACAACCTAGTATTTTGTATTTTGTTTATCTATCCATAGCTATAGTGTTTTATTGATCAGCTTTACAACATAAACAGTTCTGATCCACCAAGTCAGGAGATATTATGCTACAGAAATCTTATTTTGTTACGCGTACCTGTATGATTTTAGATTATTTCATTTTAAGCATCCTTTTTACGAGTAACCATTTGGTATCCGTAGTTTATTTCCGTATATATATTCATTGATTTTAAAATGTAGCAGACTTTGGTAACTAATGATGTTATAAAGAGAAAGGAGACACCTGATTAATTTGTGTCATTTGCATGAGTATAGGTACAAGAGAATGTTGCCATAGAAACAGGACAACAAAATATAATTTATTAGGGATGACATAACCTAGCTTAATATCTGCTGGTAGACATGAATAGGTGAGTTGATGAAACACAGGTTTTATTAGGTAAAAATGATGTAAGAATAAAGATATTACAGGTAAAGTTACATCTCTGGGTTTATGGATAATTCTGGTAAAGTTATATCTCAGTGATGTATAGATACTCCAGGTAAAGGTCAGTCCTGGTTGATAACAGTGTTACATCTCAAGGGTTTGTTGATATTTCAAGTAAAGATCAGACCTTATTAATGTTTTAACCATAAAGCATTTTATATACTGAATCAGACTGTTTTCCGTTAACCTTGAAATAATCATTTTCTACGTTAATAACCTTGCACCGAGTGTTTGAATCGCACAGGAATGACTGCCATCACAGATTACTGTACTGCCCATTCAGTATTTAGTGGTTCTCTGATGGCGGACTGTAGATCTGCAATATCAACACGAAGTGATAGAGATAAGAACACAAACATCATTAGGATCTATCTGTAGAATTCTGAATCTTTGAGATGCTTGTGTTGTCCATGTAGCTTATCATCAGTCTGTACCCAGATAGATTTACCTTACTTAATACGTAGTTACCACATTCAAGCTTAAACCACCAGAAAAAACGTCCTTCCTTTTAAGTGTCACTGCACATCCATGTAATATCTTGACATGCTAATGGATCTCCCTGAAGTTTGTACTTAATTGAGTACACTTAATATTTAAACCTGTTAATTGAGAAGTTGACAAGATCAAGTAACTGTATACAGTGAGGACAGAAACTGTAACTTAAACATGTCTATCTTTGGTTCGTTCCTCGGAGAACGGCGAAAGCTCGGCTTTCCATGGAAGCACTATAAGGTAGGATATCATTTTGTTTAAGATTTTAAGATAGCTGGAATTATTATTTCCAGATTTATTGATTGTGACCAACATTATTTTTTATTGTTAATCAAAGTATTTAAAATGGATCGAAATGTATGCATTTATATTGGTTTATATATATATATTAGTCCTCAATTGTGTCATAAGCGACAATTGAGTGATAATTCTAGTGTTGTAGGAGTAAGGTGTGGGTTCACCATCACCTGATAATTCTGATGTTGTGGGGGCTGAGAGGTGATTTACTGTCATCAGTTACTACACACACAAACTATTCCTCTCAATCTTGTTAACAA